CCATTTTTGAATCATAAAATAGATGTGATTTTCTGGAGTACTGATAGCATTAGATATTTACGATGGAAGGGAGCTAATACTGCACGCGTGATATTTGCTGCTAGCTATTTTAAAGTCCCACCTTCTTTATTAAGACTCTGAATATTAGAGGAACTAACAGAACACTGTTATCCATATTTCATAGACAATGGATTTTAGTCTCACCCAAAAGAAAGATTTTGCTAAAGTTCTGTATGTAATCAATTACTGAGACTGAATCTGAACTAGTTAAATCTGTTTTCGTTTTTAAATTGCATTATTTAATGCCACAAACAAGGATGTAACTGATCCATTCCATTCCAGTAATCTCCGTAGGTACACAATTTAATTTAAAATAGCACAAAACAGCACTACTCTCAGAAAATTTACCTCATAACATTATTATAGTAATTCTGTGTCTTCTGCAAATTTTTCTGTAACTTGTAAAGTAATAAATGTGCAATAAATTTTGTTGTCAAAATGACTGTGAGATGAGTGAAGAAGGATTACATTTATTTTAAGTCTTACTGTGTCTTCCAGGTTTTTAGGATTCCCTCTATTAATTGGACTTAAAGCATATGCTAAATACAGCATGTGCATTCTTCAAGGGTTAAGGTGAAAGAATGTTTATGAAAGATACAACACATTTCCTAAAACCATATAAGAAGGGAAAGGGCACTGATCTGAGGATTGGTAATATTGGTGGGAACTGAAGTAACAGTGGAAGCATTCCATGCAGACAAAGTGACCTGGACAAAGACAAGACGTGGCATGGTCAGGGATTGGTACCATTAGAATGAAGAGTCTTACGGACAGCAATGGGAAACTAGAGAAGAGTCAAGCATCACATGAAGTGTAATAATGAACTCACAATCTTCAACTTTCTCCAACAGTTCTAAATGCTTAAGCACAGGGTTTTGTGGCTTACAAGTAAGCCATGGAGAAAGCTTTGCAATTCAAATATTTGTCTCCCAGATCTCAGTTAGGTGTCATAATTAGATGTGTAGCAAATAAAAGCAGGTTATTGGGTATATTCTCTGGGCCTCACAAGATTTCCCTGGTAAAGCTAGTTTTAGTCTTTAGTGCTGCTGATATCAGCTCAGGAG